CCTGTAATCCCAGCACTTTGGGAGGCAGAGGCAAGAGGACTGCCTGAGCCCAGGGGTTTGAGACCAGCCCAGGCAGCTTGGCAAGATCTTGTCTCTACAATAAATCAAAAAAAAAAATTTTAGCCGGGCATGGTGGCACATACCTGTAGTTCCAGCTACTTGGAAGACTGAGGTGGAAGGATCACCTGAGCCCAGCAGGTTGAGGTTGTGGTGGCCATGAGCATGACACTGTACTCCAGACTGGGTGACAGAGTGAGACTCCGACTCACAAAAAAAGAGAAATCTTGAGTGGGGACCAAAAAAAAAAAAATTGAAATACTAATGTCTAAATTTTCCCAAATTTTATACTCTGGTTTCTCTTAATATGGCATATTTTTTTTGCTTTTTAAAAATATTTCAAATTTTATTAAAACTATAAACTCACAAATCTAAGAAGTTCAGTGACTTCCAAGTACAAGAAATGTGAAAACTACACTGAGGCACGTCATAATAAAATTACTCAAAACCAGTGAAATGGTAAAAAAGATAATTACAAAAATCAAGATGACAGCAAATTTCTTGTGAGAAACAATGCAAATAAGAAGCCAATTGAGCAACGTCTTTAAAGTAATGAGAGAAAAACATTTTCAACCTCGAAGTCTTTCCAGTGAAAATGTCTTTCAAAAATGAAAATGAGCCGGGCATGGTGGCTCACGCCTGTAATACCAGCACTTTGGGAGGTGGAGGTGAGAGGATTACCAGAGCCCATGGGTTCAAGACCAGCCTGGGCAACATGGTGAGACCTTATCTCTAAAATAAATCAAAAAATTAGCTGAGCATAGTGACACATACCTGTGGTTCCAACTACTTGGAAGACTGAGGAGGAAGGATCTCCTGAGCCAGCAGATCGAGACTAAGGTGGCCGTGAACAGTGTGCCACTACACTCCAGTCTGAGTGACAGAGTGAGACTCCGACTCAAAAAACAACAACAAAAAAATGAAAATGAAACAATGACTTCCACATTCAAAAACTGAAGGAATTCATCACCATTAGCTGCATACTGTAAGACATGTTAGAGGAAGACCTTCAGGCGTATGTAAAATAAATACCACATAGGAATCTGGATTTAGGCAAGGAAAAAAACAGCACTGTGGTAACTGCATGGGTAAATATATGTGCTTTTAAAAATAATTTAAATCTTTTCAGGAGATATTGGCTGTTAAAATAAAAATAACAACAATGTATTATGGAATGTATAAGAGCATATAACAGTAAAATGTATGCCAACCATGGCAAAAAGGTCAGGAAAGAAGAAATGGAAGTATACTCTCATAAGGTCTTTATACTATACATGAGGGGATATAATATCACTAATGTAGACTATGATGAGTTAAAGTTGTATACCATAAACCCTAAAGCAAAACAGAAGATATTTAAACCTAAGCATACTAGTAATCACATTGTAAATAAAGCTTGCCAGATTGGATTAAAAAAAAAACAAGATTCAACTCTATGCCTGATAAAAAATGAACTTAAAAGATAAAGACACAAATGAGTTAAAAATAAAAGGATAGAAGAAGATACATTATACTTACACTAATAAAAAGAAAGCTGGAATGACTACATTTAATTAAAGATTCCGGAGGAAAAGTATTACTAGGAATAAAGGTGGTCACTTCATAGTGAGATGGGTCACCTCATTGAGAGCATATAACAATACTAAACATTTATTCTCCTAATCACAGAGCTTCAAACTATGTGAAGCAAAAACTGATAAGAATACAAGAAGAAAATAGGCAAATCTAAAATTATAGTCAGTAATTTTAATAATCCTCTCAATAATTTATAGAGCAAATAGACAGAAAATCAGTAAGGATACTGAAGATTTAAACAAAACTAGCACCAACTAGGCCTAATTGACAACACTTAACCATAGCAGAATAATTTCTCTCAGTGCACACATAACAGTTACCAAGATAGACCATTCTGGACCCAAAACAAGTTTGTTTTTTGTTTTTTGTTTTTGAGTTGGAGTCTCACTCTGTCGCCCAGACTGGAGTGCAGTGGCCGCTCCCGGCCACCACAGCCTCGACCTGCTGGGCTCCGGTGATCCTTCCGCCTCAGCCTTCCAAGTAGCTGGAACTACATGTGTGCGCTACCACACCCAGCTAATTTTTTGATTTATTGTAGAGATGAGGTCTCGCTGCCCAGGTGGGTCTTGAACCCACAGGCTCAGGCAATCCACTCACCTCAGCCTCCCAAAGGCGCGGGATTACAGGTTGAGCCACCGAGCCTGGCTCCAAAACAAGTTTTAATAAATTTTAAAGGGCTTAAGTCGTACAATATATGTCCTCTGACCACAATGGCACTACATTTAAAAATCAGCAACAGAAAGTTTTCCAGAAAATTCCTTCAAATTTGGAAACTAACATACTTCTAAATAACCCATAGATCAAAGAAATCCAAAGGAAAATTAGAAGGTATTTTGAACTAAATTAAAAAGGAAACACAACATATTAAAATTTGGGGAATATCTCTAAAGCAGTAGTTAGGGGGACAATTTTAGCACTGAGCCCTGTAAGAAACTAGAAAAAGACCAAGTTAAACCCAAAGACAGCAGAGGATGAGAAATAATAAAGACCAGAGTGGAAATCAATAAAATAGAACACAAGTTGGCAACCTGCAATCTATGGAATGATCACCTATTTTTGTAAATAAAGTTTTATTTACAAACATGTCCTTTCATTCATAGTGTCTATGGTTTCTTTTGCACTGTAACAGCAGAGTGGAGTAGTTGTGACAGAGACTATATGGCCTAAAAACCTAAAATATTTACCATCTAGCCCCTTTTTTAAAAGTTTGCTAATCAGAAAAGCAATAGACAAAGTCAGTAAAAACAAAAAGCTGTGTTTTTTTTTTTTGTTGTTGTTTTTGATCAATCAAATTGGTAAACCTCTAGCAAGACTACTAAGGGGAAAAAGAGAGAAGTTATACATTACCAATATCAAAAGTGAGAGAGATGACATCACTACAGATTCTTTAAATAGTAAAAAGATAATAAATATTATGAACAACTTTATGCTATTATATTGGATAACTTGTGAAATGGACAAATTTCTTGAAACACACAAACTAGTAAAGTTCACTAAAGAAGAAATAGATGTACATATTAAATAAATTGAATTTTTTATTAAAGACCTTCCCATAGAGAAAATTCCAGACCTATTTGGCTGCACTGGTGAATTCTACCAAATATTTAAGGAAGAAATAATAGCAATTGTATATGAACTTCCAACAAATTGAAAAGGAGGAAATACTTAACAGCTTTCTTATTCTAGGAGGCCAGTGTTATCTTGACACCAAAACCAGACAAAGGTATTATAGAAAAAGAAAACTGTAGGCCAATATGTCTCATGAATATACATGGAAAGTCCTCAACAAAATTTTAGCAACTCAAATTAACAATATATAAAACAGATAATATATTGTTCCTAAGTGGGATTTATTTCAGGAATGCAAGGTTGGCTTAGCATTTGAAAATCTATCAATGTAATTCATTAAAACACTAATAAAGTTATATCATTATTATAATAGATGCAGAAAAGACATTTGACAAAAATCCAACATCCACTCATGATAAAAACTCTCAGCAGCCAACTGATTTTTGGCAAAGGTGCACTCTTCAATCAGTAGTGCTGGGGAAACAATATCCATATGCAGAGGAATGAAACTAGACTCCTATCTCTCACAGTAGGCAAAATATCAACTCAAAATGGATTAAAGACTTAAACATAAGACTTGAAATTATAAAACTACTAGAAAAAAAACACAGAAGAAATACTCTAGGATGTTGGTCTGGCAAAAACTTTGTGGCTAAGACCCCCCCAAAACACAAAAATAGACAAATGGGACTATATTAAACTAAAAAGCTCTGCACAGCAAAGGAAACAATCAACACAGTGAAGGAAGAATTTTTTTTTTTTTTTTTGAGTTGGAGTCTCGCTCTGTCGCCCAGACTGGAGTGCAGTGGCCGCTCCCGGCCACCGCAGCCTCAACCTGCTGGGCTCCAGCGATCCTTCTGCCTCAGCCTTCCGAGTAGCCGGAATTACAGCGCATGCTACCATGCCTGGCTGATTTTTTTGATTTATTGTAGAGATGAGGTCTCGCTGCCCAGGCGGGTCTTGAACACGCGGGCTCAGGCAATTCACTCACCTCAGCCTCCCAAAGGTGCGGGATTACAGCCTGAGCCACTGAGCCCGGCTGGAATAATTTGTTAATGAGAGAAAATATTTGCAAACTATTGATTCAACAAGGGACTAATATCCAGAATATACAAGGAACTCAACAGTTGAAAAAAGAAAAAAGAAAAGAAAAAATCTCATCAAAATGTGGGGAAAGGATCTGAATAGACATTTATCAAAGAAAACACAGAAATGGTCCACAGGTATATTTTAAAAATGCTCACCATCACTACTTATCAGGTAAATACAAATCAAAACCACAGTGAATATAATCTCGCCTCAGTTAGAATAGCTATTATGAAAAAGACAAAAAATAGCAGATGCTGGCAAAGATGCTGAGAAAAGAGAACTCATACACTTTTGGTTGGAATGTAAATTAGCACAGTCACTCTGAAAAACAGTATGGAGATTTCTCAAAAAACTAAAAATAAAACTACCATACAATGTAGCAGTCCTTCTCCTGGGTATTTATCCAAAGGAAAGGAAATCAGTATATCAAAGGGACACACTTCTCTGAAATAGCCTAAAATTTGCATGCTTTTTTTTCTAATAGTGCCACGGGATGCTTTGAATGATTTCTATTTTGATATGGAAGAATAAAAAAGTGAGACAGGGATGGGCTGCAAATAGACCCAAAGCTCAACTGGTGCTAGAGGGTTTTGGAGAGCACCCCGAGGGAGTAAAGCTGACCAGCACCGGGGCTGGAGTGCATGCTGTGGGAGGGGACTTGCGTCCCACACAGGGATGATGCAGTAAGCCTGTGTCTCGCTGTCTTGCAGGTGGTGCCAGGGAGAGGGAGAAGGTGCCAGCCAACCCAGAGGCGCTCCTGCTTATGGCCAGCTCCCAGCGAGACATGGAGGACTGGGTGCAGGCCATCCGCCGGGTCATCTGGGCCCCGCTTGGCGGAGGTACTGCCCATAGTTCGCATGCCCACCCTCTAGAACCCTTGCCTCCAGGTAATCACGACCCCTCCACCCTGAGTCCAAAAGGCCCCAGTGACTTGGGACTTGCTGCCTGCATCCTGTGCTTCTTACAGTGGGCTGACCTTTCTGCTACCAGCCCTCAAGAATCACCCTTCCCACCTGTGTAGCAAGCAGGCCCTGGCAGGGGAAATCAGGTCCAATTTTCAAAAACATGTCCTCCTCCCACCAGAATCCTGTGGCTTATGTGTATGTGAATGATTTCTAATTTGATATGGGAAAATGACAAAGTGAGGCTAAAGGAGAAAAGAGAAAACTGGAAAGGGCCCCAAAGAAAGCTGTGTGAGGTGTGACAGGGATGGGCTGTGAAATATAACCCAAAACTCAACTGTTGCTAGAAGGTTTTGGAGAGCACCCCCAGGGAGTAAAACTGACCAGTGCTGGGTCTGGAGAGCCCTCTGTGGGCAGGGGTTCAGCGAGACTAAGGGAATCCTGACCCCCTGCTAGATGCTGAGTGGGTGTGAGGTGGTCTGCACACAGGCCGGAAGTAAGCCATGTGCTCATGGGGTTTGTATCAGATGCCCAGGCCTTACTTCCTTCCCTTCTGCTTCTGTTGCTGTAGCCACATGGGGACCCTGTTGTGCCCACCAAGCCCACTCCCTGTCCCTGATCTGAAAGCAATGGTTGCCATGTATTTACTTCCTCTGTGATTCAAAAACATTTATTGGGTGCCTAAAGCATACCATATCTTGTTCCAAGCAATAAGAATTCGGTGATAAAATAGGCCATGCCTCCTCCTTCCCTCGTGAATGGAGAGTCTCTGTGGCAGAGAGACTGTAGACAAGTACAAGTGTTTCGTGTTGTCCAGTAGTAAGAAATGCAATGAAGCCATGTAAACCTTAGTGAGAGGACAAAGGAGATGGTTAGTTGGAATGACCCAGCAGGCTTAATGAAGTGATCAGTGGAGCCAGAGGTGTGTGTGCTGGGGAAGAACATTCTGGCAGAGGGACTGACAACTGCAAAGACCCTGTGGTAGGAACGAATTATGGGAACCCAAAACATGTGAAGAAGACCAGTGGGTCCGAGGGAGTGAAGACCAGGAGAGTAGGAAGGCCTGAGGTGACAAACATCACCAGGGCCTTGGGACCATGGTAGGAATTTCAGATTTTGTTCTAAATGCAATGGGGCACCAAGAGGGCTCTGAGCAGGAAACACACAGGATCTGACTTTAATTGATAAAAGGAGCCCTCTGGCCACTATATGAGGAGTGAGCAATAGAGGAACAGGAGTGGTTGCAGCAGGCTAGAACAGACATGGGATAGTCACATGGGGTGGGAGTAGAACAGATGGCACAGATGGCCAGCTGCAGGTTCATTCTGAAGGTAGAGCTACCAGCTTTTGCCTGTGGTCTGAACATGGAGTACGAGAAAAAGGAAAGCCAGCCATGCAGTTTCTGTCTCTAGGCTGGCCTCTGTGTGAAGTCACCATGAAGAACTTTCATGATGGGATCACCATGCCAGAGGGCCCAGAGCCACCAACTCCCTACTGAATGTGGAGACAAGAGGTCTGAAGACTGGCCAGGCTCTGATCATACCAACCATGGATGTCCTCATTCTTTCTTTTTTATTTTTGAGTAGGAGTCTTGCTGTGTTACCCAGGCTGGAGGGCAGTGGCATGCTCCTGGCAACTGCAGCCTTGACTTGCTGGGTTCAGGCGATCCTTCCGCCTCATCCTTCTAAGTAGCTGGGACTACAGGCACACGCCACCACATCCGGCTAATTTTTTGATTTATTGTGGAGATGGAGTCTCACCAAGTTGCCCAGGCTGGTCTTGAACCCATGGGCTCAGGCAATCCTCTCACCTCGTCCTCCCAAAGTGCTGAGATTATAGGCATGAGCCACCGCGCCTGGCCTCTCACTCTTTCTATAAGGTGTTTGATTGGCACACAGTCCAGGCAGGCACAGACCCGCACCTTTGGGGCATCTGAGCCCATCTCCAGATCTAGCAAGCTCTAATCCCCTACCTTTGCTCCTCACCTCACCCACTCTCCTCTCCCATCCCTGGCAATGGCCTGTCTGACCATCTTTCACTGACCATAAATCCCTTATGTAGAATTGTTACTATAACATTAAAGTTGTCCTCTTGGGCTCGATCAATGGATCAATGGTATCACACTGTCAGCTATGGCCTCTGTGAACCCTGATGGTTATAGCACATTTGACCTACAGCCTCAGCTTTATGACCTGGGAAGGCTTCAGCTCACCCAGGGACTTCTACAGCCTGTTAAGGACTTTCTTTGGTGCAGGGTTGTTGAAAATAAACTGGTAAACAGAAAAGAAACCAGAAGCAGACACCTATGTAACTGGACTTTAATTTATGACATGTAGCATCTATAAGCACTGCGAAAAGGAGAATACCATCATGATCTTGGGGTAGAGAAAAACGTTTTAATGAATTACAAAAAGCACTAATCTGTTAGGAAAAGTTTGATACATTGTACAAGATAAAATGAAGAGCGTCTGTTCTTTAAAAGGTAGATTAAGAGAATGAAGAGATAAGCTGTAGATTAGAAGAATGTGTATGCAGCACGTACAACTATCAAATGACTCACTCCCCAAACTCCTACAAATCACTGAGGCATACACAGACAAGCCAGTACAGACATGGTCAAGAGACATGACTAGGCACTTCCCAAAAGAAGAAATCCTCATGACCAATGAATATAGGCAATAGTGCTCAACCTCATGAGTAATCAGAGAAATGCAAATTAAACCACAAGGTGATGCTTTTATTCACCTACCAGAATGACTAAATGAAAAAGATGGATGGTTTCAAGTAGTGGTGAGGATAGGAAGTTACAGAAGCTTGCACAAATTGCTAGGGAAATTGTTTGGCAATATCTGCTAAAGTGGATGTTGTGCACATCTGTGTGCCAGCAATTTTTTGTGAGGCATGTCCTCAACAGAAGTTTGGTATGCCAGGAGACTTGGACACATGGATATTCATAGCAGTCTTGTTAATGACAACCTGGCACGAACCCAAGCACTCAGCAACAATAAAGTGGATGAATAACTGCTTCATTCTTACAGTGGTAACTTTATGATGAGAATGAACTGACTACAGCTCCACCCAGTAACATGCATGAATCTTAAGACAAGAAGCCAAACAAAAAAAATAACATGCTGTATGATTCTACTTAAAGTTGAAACAAAGGGTAGACATAAACTGTATTATTTATATATAGATAGGCAGCAAAAATATGAAGAAAAGCAAAGAAATGAATGTCATTACAGTCAGGATAGTAGGGAGGAAGAGGCTAAGATGGGGCCGAGGAAGGGGTATAGGTTTCTGGAATGTTCTCTGGCTTACTTGAGTAGTAACAGCTGATCCTCTTACAATAACATCCATCTGCACACTGATGCTTTAAATAGTTATTTGAATTTGTGCAGAAAAGATTAAAAAATGGAACACAGAAAGGTGACAAACTTAGAGGTCAAAGAGGTGAAATAACTTTTCCAAGATGATACAGCCAGTTAGGAAGCAGAACTGAGAAATGAAGATGGATGTTCTGACTCCAGAAGCCGTGCTTGATCCCGGCCAAAGTGGCCTGTCCAAGATCTCTGCTCAGTGGTCCTGTTTTCCCTGCCAAATGCCCATCTCCCTCTCTGCTTGCTCAGAATGGGGACCTTCAGCAGAATCCCACGAGGAATTCAGACTCACCCCTCCCCCTGACCAAGATACATCTGCCTTCCCAGGCTGTGTGCTGAAGTACTCTCCAGCTTAAAACAGGAACCGCCATCAAAGGCGCTTATCTCCTTTCTACCAGAAGTACAGAGGAAACAGAAATCTCAGGAGTTAAGGATGCCAAGCGTGTCTGGGCACGCAAGGCGCTTGCAGGTGAGCTCTGTTAGCCCCTAAAGGTTTCCTGGTGGAGCTGTTATTAGCATGGATCCCCTGGAAAGGAGGCTTAGAGGATCAGTCTTTTCTTTTGCTGTTTCATAACGGAGCCATGGACCCTTCCCAGTGTTTGCTCTGGCAGTGGGCGGGCCACCTCTGACATACTCGAGTACTGCAGAAGTGAGGGCCTGGTCATCCTCACAAGAAGATGGTGGCAGGCCAGTGCTTAGGAGAGCCTGTCGCTGCTGGTGACCTGCCCAGTGGTAGCCCTGGCTGGCGTACCTCTCATGTGGGCATTCATTTAGTCATCAACCAATCTGTCATGAAGTTGAGAATGTATTCTAGAGAATGGGGAGACAGCGGAAGCAGGACAGACAAGGCCCCTGCCCTCATGGAGCTCATGCACTAGTACAGGAGGTGGGTGACCAGTAAGCTAAGGAGACCCATCGTAGGTGAGATGGTGGTGTGCGCAGTGGGGACAGAGGAGATAGGGAGGTGTGCAGGAGTGATGGGAGGTCAGAGTTTGGTGACTTTGGAATAAAGGAGAAGAAAAGGTAAGTGACAGCACAGGCATAGGAAGGAGGTCCTTGCTGGAAAAGCAGCAAGAAGACCAGTGTGACCAGAGTGGAGTGGATGAAGGAGAGAGGGGAGGAGAGAGACCAGAAAGGAAATGGCCTTGTAGTCATACTGGGGCTGTTAGTGCCTCATGGTTGAAACAGAGAAGTGGCAGAGCCTGATCCGGGTTGGACCAGGATCCCTCTGGCTGCTGTGTTGAAAAGAGACCAAAGTAGGGCAAGGAGAGAATCAGAAGGCTACTTAGGAGCTCCTTATGAAGTAATGCAGGTGAAGGTGAGGGCAGCCTGGCCTGATGGTGGCAGTGATAAGAAAGTAATTGAATCCTTGATTTATTTTGAAGGTAGAGCCAGTAGTATTCACCTGCTGGGATGGAAGAGAGGTGTTTGAGAATGAATAAGAGAAGTTAAGGGTAATTCTTGGGTGTTTTGATCTAAGCAACTAGAAGGATAGGTTGGCCATTGACCAAGAAAGACTGACCACAGGAATTGCAGTTGTTTGGAAGGAAGATTGGGGCT